TTTGGATCTTTTGGTGTTCATTTTGTCTTTGTTTTCTATGAAAATTGTTTATTAAATGGATATAATTTGTTACAATTGGGGATAGAATTTGTTTCTATTGCAAAAAAAAAAATAAAAAAAATAAAAAAAAATGTTGCCTAGAAAAGTTTTTCCTCAAAAACCAAGAAATGTGAAAAACCAATTCCATGAAAAATTTAGTTAATCAAACATATAAAAATGTGGAAATTGATTAATTTCCATCTTTCATAAAAAATTTCCCCCAATCAAACGGGGCCTTAATGTTAATCTCAATCAGAGTTTCGTCAAACCGTAAAGAATCACGTTGACGTTGCTATGAAATTTCCAAAATAATTTTCCTTATTTATTCCCATCCCAGCCCACTCTGACACATACACAGAAAATATTGTGTCGTGTGTCTCTACGGCAAAATTCTTGTTCTTTTCCTTCTGAAACCCACTCCATAAGCCTTTTCACTTTACTGGAGCATTCAACATTTTCTGTACACGTGGGAAGTTGAAAGGATCACCTAATCCTATATGAACTGATTAGCTCTTGTATTTATACAATCAGAAGTAATTGATGCAGCACAAAGAGGCTGAATTTTACCCATAAGGACTATAAAGATTCAGTCTTGAAGGCTGGACATCACTCCTTTTGCTATGGCTAATTCACAATCACATATATCTAGTGTAGACTTAGAATGCGGCCATCGGAGCTCCGCCGGGGGCGGAGGGGCCAATGAGGAGGTTGGAGGTCTCTGTTTCTCCGACGTCGAAGAGGGTTCTTGTTACTCTCAGTTTTATTCCACAGCTGATGGTGATGGCTCCTATGATGATAACAACTTTGCCTGTGGCTCTGGGCATGGAGAGATTTTGGTAGCTGAAAAATTGGAATCAGGGAGAAATTCATCTGTGGGTGATTCTTCAGTTTGTTCTTCAATGGACATAGAAATTGGTGATAATGAGATGCATTTGTGGAAAGTTGGGAGAGATTGTAGGATTTGCCATTTGAGTTTGGTGAGTGCTAGCCCGGAAACTGGTGTTGCCATTGAATTGGGTTGTTCTTGTAAGGATGATTTGGCTGCTGTTCATAGGCATTGTGCTGAGACTTGGTTCAAAATCAAAGGAAACAAGTGAGTACTTCAAATTTTCTTGATATCACATGGATTTTCATGTGAATTTTGACATTTTTATGCATAGTTGGACGCCATGAAATTGAGCAATTCGGCTTTTCTAATAATCTGATATAACCCTCGCTAATGCTATCTCTATTAATTACCGATATGTTTCCTACGTTTTTCTTGTTTATTTTGAGGTTAGGGGTTAGCAAGACATGATTGTGATTATTATTTTGCTTCCCTAGTATTTGATTTTTGGGATATTGAGTTTGGTAATAACATTGCGTACTCAGTTGATCTAGTGATGATGAGATACCATACTTTTAATTAATGTAGAAAAATATGTAAAGATATTATCTTACTGTCACTTGTCATTTTCAGGACTTGCGAAATTTGTAATTCGATTGCACGGAATGTGGTTGGCCCGAATGAGATTGAGGCAGCACAACAAACCAATGGATACAATTCAACTGTAGCAAATTCAGTCCCTGCTGCCAGACTAGCGAGTATAGAAGCTCGAAGTTGCTTAAATGGTCACCGTTTTCTAAATTTTCTCCTCGCCTGCATGATATTTGCTTTCGTCGTATCTTGGTTTTTTCACTTTCACATCCTATCATAAACATTATTCTGAAAGAGTTCTTTCAGAAGATGGTGGAAAAACTGGTAAAAGATAGTGATAAGTTGATAGATATTGATGGTCATAGTGTCCGTATCTGTATTTTCGGTTTGTGCATTTGTTACAATTTGGTCATTTTGTCTCTGTCGTTGGGTGAGCTTCTGATTATGAAACCCAAGTTATAGGCATAATTAGAAAATCTCCTCACTTGTACGAACTTTTATCAACAAATCTTATAATATAAAATCTAAAATTTGAAGAAGGAAAGAGAAAGAATGACTGCCATTTGGTTTGCTTAGAAAAAGAATAGAAATAATGTAGCAACGATTAAATAAATGAGTGAATTGTTAGATAGCAACCTTCCATTTCAGTTTTTGATTCTTACAAGGATGCCAACGTGCAGATTAACAGAACTAATGACGACACTTGGCGCCCCTGTTTGTCCAGGGTCCATGTGGCCTTGGACGAGTCATATTATCTTTATGAAGTCTTTAGTTGTACGATCGCAATATTGACCTAGTCCTCATCATTTCTTTCTTGGTATCACAGCCTGATTTGACAATCTTACACGTTCTTTTTCTAGTTTTGCATCTGTGGCTAGAGAATGGAAATTATTTACGTCCAGCAATGTTTATCACATTTGTGTCAAAGGACATGGTGTTTATCGCTCATTATCACTTTGGCAGTTTCCTGTTTTACCAATGTTTATATTGATTTTCATTGTATTATTATTATGTGAAATTAAATCAAGTAAATTCAAAATAAAATTAGGATAGCCATTTAAAACTCATTGAACTTTATCTTAAGTTATTACTTATTTATCCAAATTTTAAATAGTTACTCATTGTACACCCATACTTTAAAAAAGTTGCTCATTGCAAATTTTCTGTGGATTTTATTGACAAAATTGTTTTGTAGATAAATTCAGTAACTAAGTAAAACACGTAAGTGCATCAGTCAATTCAAATGCGTTACTCCCTTTTAATAAGAAGTGAAAAATACGTAGTTGATGTGGAGATTCTCTCCTTTAGAATTCTTTCTTTCGTGTCCAGAGAATTGGATCAAAGAGAGGTAACTTACTTATCTCCGAAACTCATGTCGACTTATGTAGTGGCCGACATAGGCTTTTATTATTGATTCCACTGAGTCTTTTAAAAACTACAAGTGTTTTAAGTAATGAAATTTCATCAATTAAAATAACATCCACTTGTGATTAAAATTTTTTATTGAGGGAATCAACCTTTAATTCATTTTACAATCCCATGATCAAATAATTTACTATTATAATAAAGAATTAAATGTCACAGCTTCACATGTAAGGATTGCACCTATGTTTAATGGTAACACCATATAAAAATATTGACACTATGAAATACAAAATTGCTTTGAATACCAACACAAACGTGACTTTTTAGAAATGATATAAATATAAAATGATGAATTATTCAAACTGTCGCTCACCCTAGTCG